CCAAGGACGGAGCCAAGGGGGGACCTACGGGTGCCACGGCCCCCCCAACAATTTTAATTTTTTTTTATATACATATATATTACTATATGGCACCCCCTATTTTTAATATAAACTCATATTTTTAATATAAACTCATATGTATATTACTATATGGCACCCCCTATATGGCACCCCCAGTATTGAAATCCTGGCTCCGTCCCTGTATATGAGGGGGGTTATAATTACACCGGTATAACTTTTACTAAGTATTACACCGCTCAATAAATTTATATTAAATATGAATTTTATAAATTTAACCGTTAGATTGAAAGTTCATATCTCTTAGATCATATATACAAAATTTTATATCAATTCAAGATGATTTGATACTAATATGAACAATCACCTTCAAATTGTTGTTATTGAGTGGTGTAACACTTTTTTTTTGTTCGTCCTTGAAATATCCAAGGCTGGTAGGTGGTGATTAATCTCACCGCTATGTTGGAGGCACCTCAAAGGGTGGGATAGCTGGTCCCAAGATTTAACGCGGCTGCATACACAAGGCAAGATTTGAACCTCTGACCTTACTTAAGCGTGGATCAACCCCTACCGCTGAACCACACGCTTGGAGTTGAGCGGTGTAACACTTAATCAAAGTTATACCGGTGTAATTATAACATCTCTATATGCACATATAGACCTAATTATTAGGATATAGAATATCTAGCATAGAAGGAAAAAGAATAAGAACACTTGAACAGAAAAACGTTAAGTAGCACAGTTGGCAGGGGTAGGAGATTAGGAAAGTTAGACCAAAAGTGGCCGTGGCAATTGACAACCATCGGTAAGTGTCCTGCCACATAAAAACACCACCCTCTCTGGGAAACAACGAAAGAGAGACATGCACATTATTCAAAAGCAAATAGTTGTGTAAAAGAAAGTAGAACCAATTCCAAAGGTATTAGCAAGTGCATTACGTTTGCTTTCACAATTCTCTTGTCCTTTATTAACTGAATTTGTCTGCTTATTGCCAACTTGCGATTAACACCAAATCTAGTGATGTTTACTTACCATGATGGTATATTGGTGCTTCTTAAAGCCTTGGTTCAGACCAGAGAGGACTCTCTCCGTATCATATATATGCCAAAAATTCTTAATTTTTTATGCCAACTATATTTGATGTTTTTAATCTAAAATTATTTTTAAAATAATAAATGAGAATATTATTTATAATAAATATGAATACGAATATTTTCGTAAATGTATTCTATATTTTATATAAAATTATGAATATTAAATACATTGAACTATTTTCTCAAATATGTGTGAATTTTTTTTACATAGTTATAGAAAGTGTAGCTATTGCTATTAGTGTTAGGCTTATCAGCTAAACGTCCTATGGAACGAATAATTCTAAGAACTAAGAAGTAAACGCCAAGACAAACTTCTTAACATATTATCTATTATTGTTTGGTTAAAATTTATTAAAACCTACAAAACTAGACTAGTTAACTAAAGACTTGCAAACAATTTTTTAAAATATAATTTTCAATAAATTTTGGTCACTTGTAAATAGAATTTATTCAAAAGATTTTTTTAGCTACGATATTAACATAAATATTTTTCAACTTTGTTGAAAGCTAGTTTCTCTCAAAATTTTAACCGTTTTAAGACTATCTCTTTTAGTATTTTTTTATTTATCAAATTTAAGACTCGATCTTAAAATTTTGAAGTTTAAAAATCAATCACAACACTAATTGAATCAGCGAACATTAGTATTCAAAAGATGTGTTCGAAAGTATGTTAATGATATTTTTCTAATTCTAAATTATTTTATTGTAAAAAATTTATAAATTATTTTACTTATTAAACAATTTTTTTTTATATTTTTAAGAAACTAAATATAATTATTTCTATTTAATTCTTATTTTATGTCGTATAAAAAAGATTAATATGAAGATATAATAGAAAATATTATGATAATATCAAAATCGGCTAAAAAAGACTAAAACTAAGATATTTATAGAATTGTCAAAATGGTTCGTTAAACCCGATCCAACCCATCATGTATTGGATAATAGGTGAGCTAACCTAACCCAACTTCTTTTTTAGTGAGCATAAAAAAATTAATCCGGCTCAAATTACCATGAATTGGTGAATTAAATAAATTGACTCACTTAAATTATAGTATAAAAAAAAAGATTGAATATTAAATAATATGATTTTGTTAAAGGTAATAACCATTAATAAATTGTTATATTTTTTAATATTTATTTACTTTTAAGACTTAAATATATTTTTACTCCTTATAAAATGATCGAGTTTTAATTTTGGTATTGTAAATTTTTTTTGTTTTTCATCCTGTAATATCTATTTTTATTATTATTATTTATTAATGGCATTTTCGTAAATTTTTATAAAGGTATAGGGTGTTTTGGTAATTTTGGAACGGGCTGTTCTAAAAGCGGAACGGGCCGTTCCAAGCACAAAAAATAAACTAGTTAAGAAGTTGAGAACGGGCCTAGAACGGGCTGTTCCAAAAGGAGAACGGGTCGTTCTGATTTTGGAACAAGCCGTTCTGGAGGGAGTACGGGCCGTTCCGGAAGGAGAATGGACCATTCTGGATGAGTCCCAGAACGGGCCGTTCCAGTTCAAAAATTTACGTAGATTTAAAGGGCCCAGAACGGGCGTTCCACTTTTGGAACGGGTCGTTCCGGGTTAGGCAGGGCAAAACTCTATAAATAGGGGCTGGGGTGTTTGGAAAAGGAGGATTTTGAGAGAGGAGGTCCTAGAGAGAGAAAGAGGAGAGAGAGAGAAAGAAAGAGATAGGAGGGGAAAGAAAAGAGGAGAGAGAAAGAGAAATCCAAGAGAAGGAGGTTCTGCTAGGGGAAAGAAAAGAGAAGGGAGAGGAGAAGGTTCTGCCCTAGTTTCGATTCCTATTTATCCAAGTAAGGGTAGTACTTATAAGACTTAATCTAGTATATATGAGCATGATAGGGGTAGTATAACTTTTAATATGCTATTTTGTTTATATGAAGATTATCATTTGTTTAAGTTGATGGTTGTTTTAAGTGTTTAGTTATTTATGTTATTATATTGAATGATTTGGCATGGTTATGGAAAGTTTTGTATGTAATTATGGAATATGATATATGTGTGTGGTTTGGAAAGCTAATAGAACTTAGAGGAGTAAGGTTATGGTATGAATTAGATCTCTTGGTGAGATCAGGATATAATCTTTGGAAAATATGGAATTTGGGAATCCCATGGTGAGGATTCCAATATAGAACTTTTTCAAAGGTTATATGATAAACCACTTCAGATGTTAGGTGGATTCTGAAGTACTCCTCTAAGTATTCTATTTGCTACCGGTATGGGTCCAGGCCGAGTCATACCGATGGATGAGGTGGCCACGATCACCAGGGTTACGTGACGACGTAATCCAACTGTATATTTTCCATGAGAGGTTAGGCGTGAGACATGGGTTGATGACATGTTTCACCGTATCAACACTTGGTTTGGATGTGTTGAGGCCAACATTTGGTTTGGATGTGTTGGTTACATCATGGATTATACTGTGGTGTGACTTTGTTTTGGATGTGGAATATGTATACATATGGTATGAATTGTATACATTGGTTATGGATTCTTTATTATCATAAAATATGTATGCGTTGGCATGGATGTGTATACATTATATTTTGGATTGGTCTATATTTAGCTTGGAAATGACTTGTTGGTCTGGAGAAATACTGTGGATAAATATATGTTTAATGATATTTTATTATGATGTACTATGATTGGTTTTATATGTGTTATCCCTTATATTTTCATGATGGACTGTGATGATCTCACTATGTGGGAGAGCAGATCAGGTGTGAGGCCTTGGGATAGCAAGGAGTCTTTTGGATAACTGCTTTGAGAAGTGGCTAGGTTTAGAGCTTGACCAGCACCTAGGATGTCTTATTTTGATGTCTTCATGACGTTGTAATTATATTACCTTTTTGTATTACTGTATAACCTTACTGAGGATAATGACTTTATTATAAAAATATGTTATATATTTTGGAAACAATTTTATATGTTATTGTATATTTACATTCTAGCGTAGCTGACCCTTGTTCTATTTTTTTAATATATATTATTTATCTTTGGTTGGTTCTGGATGTGACGGCCTAGAATGGGTCGTTACACATCCTCCTAAAACTTATAAGCATTATTTTTTATCCTTGTAAAATAAGCAAATTTTAGTTTTGGTTCTTGGAGAAATATTTTTCCTAATTTTTCACTCTAAACTCTAAAATCTCTATTTTTTAACCAAAATGGTGATTTTAATGAAGATAAATAACATTTATTCAAAGAACCTATAAAAAATTTAGAGGTGTCACTATCAATAAAAGTTGTAGGTAATACAATAAATAGTCACTTAATTTTTTAATAAACAAATAAGTAGTTAAAAATATCTATATAATAATAGAAATTAATAATAATAATTCTAAATTTTAGAGGAATGAAAAAGACAATTTTTTTTACTAGAACCAAAATCAAAATATATTTATTTTGTAGCAATTAAAATCATATTTAAGCTTATTTTTAATTATTTAATTAGTACTCTTAAAATAATAATTAACAAAATTGTAAACAATGTTTGAATTTTTATTAATATATATATATATATATATATTATTAAATTCCCGTTTTTTTAGTTGTGTCAAAGCTTCAAAATACTTCATAAGTAGACATTCTCTCTATTTTAATTTAACTTTCTTTAAGTTAAGACAAACGGGTTTTCCATGCTCAAGCAACTTATTTATTTATTTTTTTAAATTTACCCATAAATTTGTTTCTTCTACAGTAAAAAAATGCTTATATACTGGAAAACAAAACTAAAATCCCATAAAAAAAAGGAAAACTTTACGGTACGCATGGGTACCGGAATAGTCGAATATATTTTATATTTTTTTATTGTAATTATTTGTTTTATTTTTATTTTTATTTATTATTTTTAATAATTTATTTTTATAAAATTTTCTATATCTTTAAATTATTTTTATATTTTTAAAATTTTATTTTAATGTAGCATCTATTATAATTAAATAATTTAATATTAATATTAATATTTTGTTAATACATTTTAATTTTTTTTAGTATTAATTTTTTAAATATATAGTATAAATTAATTTTTCAATTATATATTTTTTTTCTTATTTTAATATTTTTATACTATTATTATATTTTTTGTTTTTAATTTTTTAATTCTATCACATATAAATAAAATTTATTATGAAAATTAAGCTTTTGATTATTTTTTTTGAATTAGTTTTTTTGATTGATTTATCTTCTACAAATTTTTTATCTAAAATTTATGTTATTTTAAATTTATTTTTTAAAATTTATTTGTTCGCATAATTTGAAGTATCAAAACCCTTCAATTATCATGGGTATCATAGCAGTTCTCTAAAAAAAATTACAAATTGTACTCGTGGCAGTATCAATTTTTTTTATAATATAAATTACTTATATTGTTTTTCTTAAACGTTAAATTTTGATGCCTGTGTGGATTCAAATATTTGGGTTATTGTTAGACTTTATTTTCTATAGCTTAAAAATTATTTAAAAGTTAAAATATTTAAGTTAAAGATGAAGTATTTAATAATTTTTTTATATATAATCTAATATTTCTTAAGTAATATGCTTTTTTGAAATAAAGAAAAAAACTTAAAACTTTTTAAGAACTCTTTTTGGAACGTTCTTTATTAAACAAATAACTTTTTTTTTTTTAACATATTGTTAGTTTTTACTTGATCCAATTTATATTTTTCACAAAAAAGAAAAACTCAAAAAGTTAAAATAAACACTATATAAACCCATAATGCATAATTGATACCTAAAGAATTCAGCCAATATTTGTGATGTGGTCCATTGAAACTCCAAAAGCAAGTATTTGCTCAACCATATAACTTAATGAGTCATTTTCTAGGTTGAGGATGTTAGGTAAAACCACCTAGTTTACGTATTTAAAACACTTGGTTTAACTATCAACAACGTCATTTCCGTTCATAACCGTCTAGAAAAGCGCTGATGCATTCAAAAGCTATATTTCAAACATTCTTGTTCTCTTTATTCCTTTGTTTAAAAGTCAAATATCTTTATAACCATCCAATCAATTAGATTAATAACATAGAAGACGCACACCGCAACATCGATAAAAACATGGAACAAGAGGACAAGGATAAGAACAAAGTAAAACACAAGGGAAAAAGACGAAGAATTCATCTTTAACTCCGAGGTGTGCGGAGCATTCACTAACTGGAAATTGGAACATCCGAAAAGAATTTTCTGACGGATAATGATAGCTGTCAAATTTCAGCTATATGAATGCAATATCTAAATTCACACACAACAATATAACACTTGTTCTGCAAAATTTATAGAAAAAAACCCATTCAAGGCATAAACTACAACATATCCTGAATGGCAGGATGCCCTTACATTTCAGTAAATGTTCTACCCCGGATCTAAAATGACCAACTGTATCCATGTCGCACCTAAATCTCATCAAAACCTCCCCAAGATTATTTTAGAAAGAATCGGAAAAAAGATTAGCAGTTTGCTTTAACTGCTGATAATAATAAGGAGGATTCATACATGAACGTATACAAAATTCTTAAATTAGAAATTCAGTGTAGGCAAATTTATATAGTAGGCCTCTTACCACAAGCCAATGAATTTCCACCATACTCCTCCAAGTCCAAGCCAGATTATAATGTTAACAATGCTAATGACGAATCCATAGCCCCACCATTTAGCAAGAGGAACGTAGTTGGCACCGAAAAACACTGGAGCTGATCCAATTCCATAATGAGTAAGGCCACCCATAAGGTTGGAGAGGAAGGACAGCACTATGGCTCCAAAGAATGGCGGAGTCCCCAGAGCAGTGGCAACAGACAAAAATGCAGTAAACATGGCACCAATATGAGCAGCTCCACTTGCAAAGAAGTAATGAGAGTAAAAGTAGAGAAGGACCAGAATTCCAAAAGATAGTTGCCATGATAGACCCAATCCACCGACAAACTGTATAAATAACGACATTTGCAAATCATTTCATCAAAATAATCAAGGAATATAACAAATTATTTTAATTTCTCAAAATGTAAAATTAAATTTTATAAACACATACACGTTGCGTAATGCATATTCTCTTATGCTGATGCCACAAATCTGGAAAGTACCAATAATATAAAGTATGCATGTAAATTATTATTACAATTGAAGAGCATTTCTCCAGGGGCAATCATCACGTTTTGACTATGACAGCGATGTTGATAAACTCAGAAGTAGGAACAAAGCAGAGAAATGAAACTAGATGCATAATGAAGATTAGAGGCAAGTATGTCCCTTTATCATATGCAGTTGGAAACTTGTTAGCTTCTTCATATTTCAGAACAATAAAAAGGTTCGTGACTTCATGTGTTTCTCTGGTCTACTAAAACAACTACAACAATTTGATAATGACAAACTGAAACTAATTGTCAAATATTAAACCATGCATTCACAATTTCACCCCAAATAACAGATAAAAAGGCAAAAGGACTAAACAGCAATTATCAGGTGCAGCTTAAGTTATGTTAAATGAATATTAGCCAGCAGTGAGAAGATACGAAACTGAAAAAATACCTTGACTACAGTTTGACTGAACCAAGAAATGAGACCATATTTGTTCAAATACCCAGCCATTGCTATGAGGGCAGCAAACCATGTGAGAGTATCCCAGGCAACTCCTTCAGCTAATCACTCCTTCCATGTTACAACCCCAGTGACAAGAAGTACAGCTAATCCAAGAATTGCAGCAGATACAGCATCAATATTAAGAAGCCCTCCAAATACCCAAAGTCCCACCTGGCAAGTGAGAGGGAATAAGTTACTAAACAACAAGATTCTTAGAGTTTAAAGTACCACGTATTTATTCACCTTATTAAGACACAAATCATACAGCAACACAATTATATTAAATGGTTAGATTCACAGACCAATAAGAAGCTGCAAGTAACCAACCAAGGGACTTGCAACTAAACAAAATTAAAGAGGGCACAACTTGTCATAACCAATGTTTGAGTTTTACAGTTAACTTGACCAAAAAGCAAAATGAACTTATGTCACAATCAGAATAGCACTGAAATTGAATGTTAAACTCAACCAAGGACAGAAAACCCAATAGCACACAGATTAGAAACCAAAGCATAACATTACGTTAAAAGTAATAACAAAGAACAACCATAATTCGGAGGCGAATGGCCAAATGAGCCCTAAGGACCAACTCTACATTTGATTAGCATTTTTCACAGAACAGAACATTTGATAACGATATCCAAAGCTGCTTATGAGTGACTGACAAGCTAAGACTGCTAGAAACCAAATAACAGAGTCGCTAATGCTAATGCAATCAAATTCGTCCACAAACATCGTTCCAAATTAGTCGTTTCACACTTTCACTCCATTAGACAATGCCCATTCAAGTGTAGAGTCCGTTGCATAGACAGCAAAATAGACTCATCCATTCGATTAATAAACTAAAATCACTTTTAAAAACATAATACTCTTTTAACCTCATGTCAGTTACGTTCAACTTTGTCCTAACTGCAACATAACTATAGCATAACAATAACACCCACATGTTACATCCTACAAAACACTATTACTGAGGACACTAAATACACCTAAATTACGCAATAAGATTTGATTACCGTGAGAAACAGAGTGGCGGTCATGATCTTCTCATGGGCAGTCATGGGCCCCATCGTCTCCAACTTCTCCTTCGCAAGCTTAGGAGCATCTGGACTATTCTTCAGCGTCGGCGGGTATATAACATACAAGATCAACGGCACCAACACCAACGACGCCAACCCCGGAACAATAGCAGCCTTGGCCCAATCCAACCACCCTATCGTCTGATTAATCGAGTTCAACGTAAGCGTCGCGCACAGAGGATTCGCCGCCATCGCCGTCAGAAACATCGCCGACGTAATCACCGAAGTCTGAAAACAAGTAAGCATCAGCCACGCCCCCAACCTGTTCTCCGTCCCGTCGCCGGCGTTGCTCCCGCACGCCACGCAGAGCGCCTTCACCAGCGGCAGGAAAATCCCCCCCGCCCTCGCCGACACAGAGGGAATCGCCGGCGCCAGCAATGCCTCGCTGAAGACCAAGCTGTAACCTAACCCTAGCGAGGAGCTACCGAAGAGCTTCACGAACTGGTACGCCACGCGGTTTCCGAGGCCGGTCTTGATGAATCCCTTGGCGAAGAAGAACGCGAGCGCGATGAGCCACGGGATGGGGTCGCCGAAGCCGGAGAACGCGGCGGCGAACGGTAGGGTTTTGGTGAGGACGGAAACGCCCAAGCCTAAAATCGCCACCGCGCCGAGGGGTAACGGTTGCGTTATAATGCCGACGATTGTGCCGAGGAAAATCGCGAGTAACTGCCACGCGTTGCGGTTCACGCCGGCGGGAACGGGAGAGTACCAGAGTAAGACTCCCGTCGCGACGGAGGCTAGTAAAGGTTTTATTGAAGCGCCTTGCCATGGCTGAGGTGGTGCCGGCGCCGGCGCCGGAGTGATGGAGGCGGCGGAGGCTCGGACGGTGAGAGAGGGGAGTTTGCGATTTGAAACGAGGTTCGGTTTTTTGAGTGAGAAATTAGGGAAAGTGGAAATGGAAGCGTGGAGGTTTTGTTTGAGAGGAATGGAGGCGAAGCGGCGTGGTTTGACGGTGGTAGAGTTGCGGCGGAGGCGGAGGCGGAGGGAGGGGAGGGCGGTGGTGGTGAGTGCTAGGGAGGCCATGATTGGAGGGAGTGGGGATCTGGTGAGGTGGCGGTGTTGGAGCTTAATAGAGTAGCGGCGTGTGATGTGGGGCGTTGGATTTGGATTGGACGGTGGAGATTGGGTGTGGAATATGCGGCTTTGTTTGTTGGTGAGGAATTGGTGGCTTCAGTGCTCTTTCGCTTTGTGATTGACGTCTGAGATGTCGATGTCTCCGCCACAACTCACAAGAAAGAGAATCAGATCTAGTTTTGTTCTTCTCTCCGTGGGGACCCTACTCGAGGGACACGTGGCGACATTTGAGTGGGTCATCTTCCACGTCGGATGAACACGTGGTGATGGCATCGCTCCGATAGAAACTGCTTTGGGCTTTTCGAGCATCTAAAAAACCCAACACACTCAAAACTCACTACTGCCAATTACAAGTTTTAAATGTCAAAAGATGGTCATAAATCATAATTATTTTATTATTTGCTTTTCTGTTCTGTTTTTTAATATAAAATAGTTTAATTAACTTATAATGTGAGGGAAAGAATAACCAGATAAATAAAAAATATGTTGAATAATTCTTACACATTTCTTTATCATTTTATCTTTGTATAATTCTTTCTAACTCACTCATATAAACTTTATTTTTTCAAATTTCTCTTACTTCATAAACAACCACTCCTGTATTTTTAATAAATACCTATTATTATATAATTTTTATTATTTATTATTTTAAGAAATAATTTATGAAAGTACAAAATATCTTTTTGACGCTAGTTATAAATAAGTTTATTTCTTTGAGTTGCTGGGAGATTTTAAAATAATAGATATAATTTATAATAACTTTTATTAAAATAACTTTGTGCCACACATGTATAAACAATTATATTGAATACCATGTGTGCTTTAAAAATGAGCTTACAATATGTTAATCATCACTAAGTCTAAACTAAGTAAAATTCTTTGTCTAAATTAGTTATTAGTGGTTACAAAATGTCTAGTATATGTCTAAACTAGTACGATACTAGTATTACTAGTATTGACTATATTAAAAAAAAGGGCTCAATAATGTTAAAATTGTTTTGGTATTAAAGTTAGTTGAGTACTAACATCTAATCAATGACAAATAAAAATCTTATTTTCTAAGATAATTATTTTTTATATATACATATAATTATGTGGGGAATAATATTCATGTTATAAATTGATTTTTTCTTATTGAATTTCAAATTATGAAATTAAGATATAATTAAACATGTAAATTATATTTTAAAAAAATAATAGAAAAATGTGAAAGTAGATCCATTTGTGCAAGGTTAGAAATAATACAAATGATCGACATGTGCCTTAGAACTTAGAATAATGAGATCACGAAGATTTAAAGAGAATTTGGTGAACATAGTGAAATAATCCCAAACTAATCCTAATCTAAAATCATGGTATCGTCCAATTATAATAATTAATAAATTCAAAGTTGGGTTTAGAACATTAGATTTTTTTTTCTCCCTAAAAGATGATCCACTCTGACATTGGGCTTAATACAATATTTTTAACAGTTGGGCTACACTGCCTACTCTTATGTACATATTTATATACATCATATCTCTAAAAATATATAGTAATCGGGCCTAGGTCTAGCAGGCTGGTTGCGATTCAAATACTTGAGAATGAGTTTTTTATTTATATTTATTTATTTAAAAAAAATTATGCTATCAATGTAAATTCAGCCTAACTTAATATATATTTTAATACGTAGAAATCAATTTCGGTGCCAAGAGTTTCAATAACTACGCACATATTCATTCTTCAACTAATTGAATGAAGAGAAATTTTAGCGACATTTTGTTTGATACTCTCCTTCAAACACTCTTAGTTAAAATTTATAAATTTTAATATTCATTAAATAATATGTGAGACTCACAAAATTTATTATTTTTAGTAAATTTTAATCAATGATAAAGAAAGTGTTAGAGAGAGGATCAATAATATTATTCATTAATTCAAACATCTTTAATTGAATTAACCAAATATAAATGGTTAATACCAAGACAACTATAAAATTTTAGGATAATTGCTAAATTTCACAAAGTTATTAATTATCACAGTTAACATTTTTCTTTGTAAAAAAAAGTTTCATATTCATTGGTTTATTTGAAAATAAATAATATAAAAATAATTGATGAAAATAAATTATATTTAATTAGATTAAATTTTAATTTAAATAATTAAAATAGTAAATAAATTTCCCATATCCAGTTCTCTCAATTGGATTGGGAGCATCCCATCTCATTCAATAATTTAAAAAAAATATACAACAAAACTCTTTAATATGTCTCATGCCATGTGACTCTTATATATCCTTATGTATAAAATATTTTTGTGATTTCTAGTTTCTGAACACGATATATCATAAAAATATCAGTGAGCACTGACTTGCGGTGACGACCACTCCAAGAAGCCAATAACATAACATCGCTTTTAATCTTTATATGGTGAAGGAAAGGTGGGCCATTAAATGATAAAAATTATTTAAAATTCATAAACACAATTATTGAAGGTATAAGTTTATTGAGTCATGCACTTGTTTTTTCATACCAGTATGAAAGAAGAAAAGCATGCATTCTAACGCAATATATAGAAAGATCCATGCAATGCAACATCAACTTCACGTTTTCTTTCTATATACTTTCATTTTCTTATTCTATATATTAATCTATATATGGACTACACGCATTATGATTGGACGAGGAACGATACAGCTATCTACTACATCCTTCATAATGTTGGAATTTTTAGGTATTAGAGCACACATTATTGATCATAACACTAAAAGAATGATGAGAAAGCAATTTACAAAGGGAATCAAACAAAATGGCAATGAGCAGACAAAATAAACATGCCACTGATATAATAATGAAATATACATTATTGAACTTCGTAGACCCACGATAATCGATGCATTAAGCAAACATTTATTTTGCTTTTGGCTCTTTAGCGAATAAGGGAAAATATTTTGAAAAATTAAGGTTAAGAGTAACGCTTCCAGTTTCCTAAAAAAAATTATTAAATTACAACCTAACTTTCTGGCCCATTGTTTATTTGTTTTGAAAACAAGACAAAATGTCATATGATGATGTACAATAATTTCATCGTGTGTTTTTTTAATTCTATAATGATTTTTTTTTAAAAATATTAACGATACTTTCTTTAACATCATCTTTCTAACATTTTATTTATAAGAATCTACCTATTTTGGGATTAAATAAAAGATTTTGGGAGTGAATTAGAGTGAAAACAAAAAAGTGACAGAGGGTATATTTATTTTTTAAGGCACTTTTTTATTTAATATTAAAAAGAAAATTTTATACTTTCTGAATGTTTTTGTCTAAATTATTATAAAAATTAGTTTTTATTTTTTACCAAACAATTCTATCTACTACTTAAAAAAAATTTATTTTTCTAACTTTAAACAAACTGGCATAGTGAAAAAGAAAGAAAAGTAGAGTAAGAAAGTGATAATATGATTTAATGAAAAAAAGAGGTACACTAAAATAGGAGAAAAAATGGGATACAAATGAATTAAAAGTAGAGTATATATATTGGTAGATAATAAGCTTGACAAGTTTCTCTTCATCATACCTTAACAAAAGGAAATCAATGTGTAAATTGGTTAACTAGACAAGATTCTTTTTATCCAAATTTTTTGATAACATAAAAAACTTATCCTCCATAATTAAGTTTTATTACTGTAATTGATATTATAGATGTAACTTCTATTAGACTTTAGTTTGTATTGTATTTTTTTAATATATATATATATATATATAACTTTATAGTTTCCCTTAAAATTATTATTTTTTTTTTGAGGGGATTTCCCTTAAAATTATTAAAGTGCTAAGGTTAGAATTTATATAAGGATAGATGATAGAATGGTTTAAAATGAGATTATAAATTGTACATAGTAACAAAGGAATAACCAAGTCGCTTTGGCCGAGTGGTTAAGGCGTGTGCCTGCTAAGTACATGGGGTTTCCCCGCGAGAGTTCGAATCTCTCAGGCGACGATCGTTTTTGATATTTTTGTTTTATTATTGTTCCAAATGATAGTGTCAATGTTTCAAAGTTCTGACACATAAGTAGCCTATAATCAACGACAACGTAGCCTCCATTGCGGACAACGACATATTTTTTGAGTTAGTCATACATAAATCCATTATTTCATTACTACATCAACCTAGGTCCTAGGTACGTATCACTATAGTTACATACATAATCAATAAAATCATTTTTGATACAGAAATGTTTAATATAATGTATTGAATAGTTTTTTTTAATTATTTTAAAATAAAAGTTAAATAAATAAGTTTGTATTAAATATTTTTTCTTCTATTTTCTTTGTCCTAAGAAAAAAAACATTTATCATTTTTCTTTTATCTATAAATAAGTTGGGTTCATATTCAGAGAGGACGAATGTTCATGATTGCAAGTTTCTTTTTTGTGTGCTAGTGTAATGGACCAAAGTTGCTTTGAAAACAATGTCACGTTACCAACCCTAATATCTCGTTAGCAATTAAATGAAAAAGTCATGATTAATGCTACTTTACACGTTCGGACTATTCACTCATCTTGCACAAGCAGCCATTGAACGTGTTGGAGTCGTCACATCAACACTAACAGAAGTCTAATGCAATAATTTCACTATAAACGTGAGTACAATTTTATAAGAGTTAGTAAAATAAATTCATAATGGTAACAGATCCCAAACCCCAAGCAAAATCATTTTATGCTTTAATAATATCGATTTTTTTTTTTTTTTATAACCATATGTTATTGGTGTAAAATATTTACCTATTAAGTTGATATCTTATCTTTATTGAAAAATCTAAGTTTGCAGTCAGCTTAATACATCCTATGTGATAGTGAACTGGTGTAGATTTCAGAGGTTTGTAACTATGATGTCTAGCTATTTGTATAGACTTTAGCGCTTAAATAAGACATAGCAAGAATAACAATTGGGAAAAAATCGTACCTAAAGTACTGGTTAACCATGTAGGATGAACTTACACCAAGTTTGGAATAAAAATGTTATAAAGATTGGTCTTATGTTTTATTGGTAGAGTAGAAATGGTGAAAAAACATGTATGGAAGAGGAATAAGTAGGAAAGATAATAAAAATAAGTAGGAAAGATAATAAAAATATGTAAGACTTATGCATTTTTTTTCCAC